GCATAGAAATAAGTAATAAATAAGAAATTAAAAAGTAAATACACACAAATAAAACATTTTTAAAAGTATCGAAAAAGAAACGTAAAACTACCCAACAGGAACACCAATGAATTAAACTTTTAGAAGGAGAAAATATAACAATTAACAATGTGTGAAAATAACTAATCAATAATTTAATTTCACACACTATTAATTTGTTACTGTACTACCTTTCTTATGACTAATTAACTGTGTTTACCATGTTGACATCCAGCATGTTATGTAATCTGGCAGGTCGCTTTTAAGGTCTTTTAATGAGACTCTCCTGCTGTCTCTTTGAATACATCCTCATAATGGGTATTTCCCCGAGTGAATCATTGAGGATCAGGCATGATGAAGTCAAGCCCCAATTGTGTGTCCTGTAACTGGTCATGTTGGGACATTGCAAATCACTTTCAGAGCAGAAACAGAGTCACTCAAATGAATAAACAAATCAAACCCCAGGACGCCCACTACAAGATTAGTTAAAAATAGATTTCCTTTTTTGTAACAAGTGTCTGTTTGCCCTTTAAAACCACATATAAGTATGCAATAAAGTCTGGAGTAATTGAATACGTGACATGAATGAGGAGGGAGAGGTAAGAGGAGAGGAAAACAGAAGAGACGATGTGAGGTGGAGGAGTCTTGTAATGCATCTCAAAGGGTGTATCTCGTTATGGTACCTAATGAAAGGGAATAGATGGTAGAATGGGTTCTGTCATTCTAGGAAGCCATCGTGTGTAACCGTAAGGAGTCAGTTCTCTGTGCATTGAGGATCAGGCATGATGAAGTCAAGCCCCAATTGTGTGTCCTGTAACTGGTCATGTTGGGACATTGCAAATCACTTTCAGAGCAGAAACAGAGTCACTCAAATGAATAAACAAATCAAACCCCAGGACGCCCACTACAAGATTAGTTAAAAATAGATTTCCTTTTTTGTAACAAGTGTCTGTTTGCCCTTTAAAACCACATATAAGTATGCAATAAAGTCTGGAGTAATTGAATACGTGACATGAATGAGGAGGGAGAGGTAAGAGGAGAGGAAAACAGAAGAGACGATGTGAGGTGGAGGAGTCTTGTAATGCATCTCAAAGGGTGTATCTCATTATGGTACCTAATGAAAGGGAATAGATGGTAGAATGGGTTCTGTCATTCTAGGAAGCCATCGTGTGTAACCGTAAGGAGTCAGTTCTCTGTGTGTGTGTGTGTGAGAGAGAGATGAAAACACACACAATACCGCCCACCATCACAAAAACATGACTTCCATTTGAAGCTTTCTTACAAAGAGGAGCCGTAAGCACACAGATGATGTTCTCCTTTGGTGTGGATGGTGATAATCTATCATCATTAGTTATATTAATGATAATGTAGGGGAGTTTCTCACATTCAACAATGAACTGATGAAAATAACAAGTATACAAATTTTGAGAAACATTAATTTTAAGATGAATTATAAAACAAATAGTTCTGACTAATATCTGACTGTATGAACCATGTTTGAAACAGAGCCTGGAACCATAATATTCATGGATGTTTCCCCTCGCCTCTGGGCCTATTAAATAGGTTATTACAAGGAGGATTTCAGTGGGGCCCCTTCACTACAGGGCCCAGGACAGTATTGAAATGAGGAAATGCAAGTGAATTAATGCAAGTGAAGATTAAAAACAAAAACACAAGTTACAAAAAAATCATATGAAGTTTATGTATGCCATTCAGTAAACAAAAACAAATGTATGTTATATTTAAACATTATATAAAATAATGAATTTTGAAGATGAGCAACACATACAATCATTTATACAGTTGCACAGTCTATGAATCAAGCCATAGAGCTGTTACAAGATTCTCTTTGTTCACTGCAATTTTTCATTGTTAAAACTGAAATTGGTTTTAAATCCAAACAAAACTAAATATATGGTCTTTACTCGTAGTCGTACCAAAATAACGGTTTCACCTATTCTAACCCTGGAAGGGAACTGTATTGAAAGAGTAAATAGTTATACAAACTTGGGCTTATGGCTTGATGAACGGTTGGGGTTTAATATTCATATTGAAAATCTTCTAAAAAAGCTCAGACCTAAATTGGGTTTTCGTTTTTGTATTAAGAAATGCTTTCCTTTTGAAGCAAAAAAAAAAGAATTATCCAAAGTTGTTTCTTTTCAGTGTTGGACTATGGTGATGTGGTTTATATACATGCAAACTTGTCCTTATTAAGGAAGTTGGATAGTATATATCATGCTGCAATACGATTTGTGACAAATTCATCTTCACGTTCCCATCACTGTACTTTGTACAAAATAGTTGGTTGGTCATCCTTGTACCAAAGGAGAAAAATGCATATGTTATTATTTACTGCCAAGGCATTATTAGGTAAACTGCCAATTTATATTTATAATCTTTTATTATATTATACTTGTAATTATAGCACTAGAAACTCTTACAAATTACATTTGACTGTTCCTAGAGTACGCTCTGAATTTGGCAAAACTGTCTTTTCCTCCTATGGTCCTAGGCTATGGAATGAAAAAGGCATTATTAGGTAAACTGCCAATTTATATTTATAATCTTTTATTATATTATACTTGTAATTATAGCACTAGAAACTCTTACAAATTACATTTGACTGTTCCTAGAGTACGCTCTGAATTTGGCAAAACTGTCTTTTCCTCCTATGGTCCTAGGCTATGGAATGAAATGCAGAGTGTTATGATGTTAGAAACAATTCCATCTCTAAATATTTGTAGAAATCTTTTGGAGTTCTACCTGGAAGAAATTTGTGAATGTTTTATGTAATTTTTAATATGATGTTGGATGATATATATATAATTTTTTTTTATGTGTGTCTAATCTGTATGTGAAACTTTCTGTGCTGCCATTTTGGCCAGGACTCCCTGGTAGAAGAGATTTATATCTCAATGGGATAATTCCTGGTAAAATAAAAGATAATAAATAAATACAGGGAACAGACTAAACAGACCAAAAAAAGAATCTTACATTTTAAAACAATGTAACATATGGTGTTTGCTCCAAGAAGACGAGAGAAGTGTATCATAATTAAATACAAAAAGAAATTAAATAAATAAATATACAGACAGACCAAAAAGTACAGAAATACAAACTACTTGGTCTTAATGGAATAGTTCACCTAAAAATAAAAATTAGCTGAAAATGTACTCACCCTCAATATGTAGATGAGATTGTTTCTTCTTTGGAACAGATCTGCAGAAATGTAGCATTACTTAATTTGCTCATTAACAGATAAAAGCATCACAACAATCCACAAGTAACTGATACGACTCCAGTCTACCAAACATCTTGAAGTGAAATGCTGTGTGTGTTCAACATTTTGTGAAGTGGAAAGCTGTGTGTTTGTAATAAACAAATTCATCAAGACATTTTTAACTTCTGAGATTGCGTGGATGCGCAGTTGAAGCATGGTGTGCAAGTGAAAATAGTCCAAAATCGTTCTAAACAAACATGGACTTTTTCACTGGAGGAAGTGTTATTATGGATTATGGACTTGTATTTCGGCCAGAAGCGATGGTTCTAAGTTAAACTGCCTTGATGGATTTGTTTCTTAATTGATGGACTGGAGTAGTGTGGATTATTGTGATGTTTTTATCAGCTGACGGCACCCATTCAGTGCAGAAGATCCACTGGTGAGCAAGTGATGTAATGCTATATTTCTCCAAATATGTTCCCATGAAGAAACAAACTCTTTTACATTGTGGATGGCCTGAGGGTGAGTAAACTTTCATTTTTGGGTGAATTATTACTTTAAGTAAGCCCTGTAATCAGATTCTTAGGGTGCGTTCACATAAAACACATCCTTGCATGAACACAACACAGTGGTCTCAAGATAAGCAATGCTCAATAGGAGAAACACAATGTAAGAGCCAAAAATGTCTCTCTGAACATGTATATTGACCAGAATTTAAAGATGCAATGCAGATTGCATGGCTCTTCAACTAGCAGGTATTCAACAAACAAACCAGATAACAATCTATAACCTTTATTGCACAAAACTATCACAATTCTCACAAAAAAATGGAGATCAATGTATTATGCATGAAAACGGGAACATTGCTCACAGCATGTGATCTGAGAGACTGACAGTAACTGTCTTGAAATTTATTACTGAGTGTGGAGAATTTGTTACATGCACAAGCAGTGTGTTGATGGCTGTAGTGGCGGCGCTTTAAAGGGGATGAATTTAGAGATTAAACTTTGCTGACAGTCTAACAGCATGTTAAAGCAAAACACACTCTCAGCATGCTAAAACCCTGTCATTTGAACAGTCGGCCTTCTTAACCCTTCACTACCTGTGACTAGCACACTCAGTAAAATCGATATCAATGCTTGGCAGCTATTAACATATATAGACGTATAAACCTATAGTTAGGTGAAGTAAGGCATAATGTACGATATAGTCACCAAAGCTGAGAAATTCAAGTGACTAGCTATAGTGTAGCTGCCATTAGATCAAAGAATGCTGTTACTTTGTTGTTGTTCATGGATAATATTAATGTTATTGTCATTTATGTAAGCAATAAGGTATGAGCGGCCATGCTATTTGTTGCACTTATTGTGAATAAGTTACAGCTAAAGAGCAAAGTGGAGTGCCTGCAATCCCTTCAGCTGTGACTTATTGGTTCAATTTACGTATTGATATACTTTTTTAAAATTAAATTCATTAAATGCTATCCTTCCGCTAAAAATAGCTCAGAAGTCAGAAAGAGCTTTATTGCCAAGTATGTTTACACACAAGGAATTTGCCTTGGCGACAGGAGTTTCCAGTGCAGAAATACAGACATTGTGCAAACATACATGATAGTGCAGACATATATTACACAGTATGAAGAATGAATGAAATACAACACTAATATAAGAAAAACAGAAAATTAAATAATGTAATATAATACAGAAGTAGAAATATAGAGAAAAAACATAATTGTTTTAGTGAATGGTCAGATATGTTATTTACAAATGTAAAATTTTCAGATGCTATGTATAAATGTGTCAGTTATAATGGACAATGTATAGTTATGAAAGTTTTAATTGTTCAGGCTGAATATAGCCTGCAGGGGGAAAAAAATGTCTTGTGCCTGGCTGTTCTGGTGGCCGGTGCTCTGTAACGACGACCAAAGGGCAACATATGAAAGAGAGTGTGCTGGGTGTGTGGGGTCCAAAGTGATTTTCTTAGCCCTTTTCCTCACTCTAGAGGTGTAAAGTTCTTGGAGGTTGGACGGGGGGAGCCAATAATCTTCTCAGCAGTCCTGACCGTCCGTTGTAGTCTCTTGATGTCTGATTTGGGTAGCTGAACCAAACCAGACAGTTATGGATGAACACAGGACAGACTCGATGGCAGAGTAGAACTGTTTCAGCAGCTCCTGTCCTGTGGCAGGTTAAACTTCCTCAGCTGGCAAAGAAAGTACAGCCTTTGCTGGGCCTTTGTTTACAATAGAGTCTATGTGAGTGTCCCACTTCAGGTCCTGAGAGATGGTGGTGCCTAGGAACCTGAATGACTCTACTGCAGTCAGGGTGCTGTCCATCATGATGAGTGGGAAGATTGCAGTGGTGGTTTCGCCATATCCCCACAACTTTTCGGGGATGTGGCGCTTCCGGCTTTGCTACTGTTCGGACGTTCTTGCTTACTGCTCCACGCCTTGCTCTCTGTTTATGTACTTTTCTTGGATTTATCTAAGATTCTATCTCCAGCAGATCAGCACAGTGCTCAAACAACACATTTTTGGCAGAAATACTAAAACTAAAAACTTTTCGGGACTGGAATAATACTATGAAAAAGAAGACTCCTTGTCTCCCACTGCCAGCAGCTTGCATTCCGGAGATGGGAAAACAGTTGTCTACATTCAAACAGACGAAAAAGAAAATGCCTCTTGTGGAATTCTACTTGCTGCATGAACTACCATAAACTTTTACAAAGAATTGCTGTTCTTGAAACAAAGTTACTTGCTGGACTTCCAAAACAGGTGGAACACACAGCAGATTGTCATCACGGACCCCCTCAGCATACAGCCGGTGAGTCCCATGAATCTAGTGAATCTCAACAGTTTATACCAAGTGTAGAGGAACAAGCCGAAATTGATCGACACACTAATCGATGTCACAAACAGGGAGCGAGACCCAAAGGCAGTAGAGACATCAGATTGTCAGATTGTCATGAGTATCTCGTATTGCTGCGGTAGCATCCTCTACCCCAGATACGGCTATGACAAGGCTTGCAAACACTGGTATTCTACCACCTCCTATACATCTTGAAAACAGATTTGAAGTTTTAATGAATGTGGGTTCATTTAACAAATGCGGTTAAACATGGATCGGATCAGCCAGCAGCTAACATCGCGATGTCACAAACAGGGAGCGAGACCCAAAGGCAGTAGAGACATCAGATTGTCAGATTGTCATGAGTATCTCGTATTGCTGCGGTAGCATCCTCTACCCCAGATACGGCTATGACAAGGCTTGCAAACACTGGTATTCTACCACCTCCTATACATCTTGAAAACAGATTTGAAGTTTTAATGAATGTGGGTTCATTTAACAAATGTGATTGAACATGGATCGGATCAGCCAGCAGCTAACATCGCTACTAACAGGCGCTCAAGGTCGAGCAGACCGCGGCATTCAGCTCAGAGCGCAGCCCAGCCCAGGACTCTGAAAGTGGGTGACTCTATTGTCAGAAACATTAGTACCAGGACTACAACTACATGCTGCTTACCTCAAGCAACCATCTCTGATGTGAACAAGGAACTTCAGAAAATTCTAATGAAGCACAAGACTGCAAATCGAATCATCATCCATGTGAAGAATGATATTCGGAAAGAGAAGTCACAACTCCTTAAAAAGAATTTCAGTGAGCTCTTCGAAGCACTTCAAAGTCTTTAAGTTCAGTCGTTCATCAGTGGACCACTCCCAGCAAGGGGAGCTAACATGTTTTCACGATTGCTTGGGCTGAACACATGGCTTCAAAGAACTTGCAGTATAAAAGGAGTGAACTTCATTGACAACTTCAATCTTTTCTGGGGCCATAGACAACAGTTTAAACTGGATGGCCTCCATCCAAACAAACTTGGTGCAAGAGTTTTAAAGGACAATATCTACTTCTCCCTCCATCATCCTTCAGTAGTGTGTGCCAAACCACTCAACCTGATTGGCACACACACACCTGGACAGAGTATGAGTGACCACAGGACTTCATATCAGTTTCCGAGTCATCATGTGGTTGACACATTCCACAAGGACACTGATAACACAGCGCAGCCACAACAAGCACTGCTCATGGAAACTATCCCGGCTGAGCCCCGCCCACAGAGCTCATCACAGACGGACTGTGACGCATTAGAAAAAACTCCAAGACTCAGCACCTAAGGACGACTTTCTGGAAAACAGCCTGGAAAGCCAGAACAACATATTTCAGCCACCGGAAACACCAGAGCCAGAGCCAGAGCCCCGCTCACCAGACACATTATCCCTCTCTCCAGCATCTCCACTTCTAAGCTTCTCACAGAAAATGGAGGAACTGTTGTATACTAGGACCAAACTCTCCCACTCTTTCGCTGCAAGATATCAACAAAAAAATGGCGGGCCCCACTACCACTGAAGCCTGTGGGCCCAGCTCGTCCTCCTCTTCCTGTGATAGCTCTCCGGCCTCTGCCACAACGCCAGGGCCCAAACCCTCCTCCATTTACTCTAGGTGAACCAAAAACAACTGATAACAGCTTTCAGTGATATGTGTCGGGTCCCCGCTATGATAGCAGCAACATTCACAAATGTTTACAGAACATGTAAACATGTTTATAGAAAGTCTAAGGCCTTCTCAAGCCATACGGCTGATGCATCTAATCTGCGGCCTATTATGCATCAAACTAAGATTGCTGAGACACAAAGTAATGCCATCAAGTTAGCATTTTTAAACATTCGCTCACTAAAAAAGTAAATCAGTTCTGATCAATGACTTAATAACCACAAACAACATTGATTTTATGTTTCTAAATGAAACATGGCTAGAAGACAGCTGCAGTGCAACAGTCCTCAATGAAACAGCCCCTCCTAACTTTAATTTTATAAGTGTCTGCAGGACTGTTAGGAGAGGTGGAGGTGTAGCTGCTCTATTTAAAGATGTCTATCAATGCAAGCAAGTGTCATTTGGTCAGTACTTGTCCTTATCTAGGTATTGTGCTGAAAGGTGCTCCACGCATTCTGTTTATAATTATTTACAGGCCTCCAAAATACTCTCCAGCCTTTGTTGAAGAGTTCACAGAACTGTTATCAATGATTTCCTCAGAGTTTGGCTGTTTTGCTATTGCAGGGGATTTTAATATTCACATAGATAATGCAGAAATCAAAACTTCAAAAGAAATTATAAAATGTTTTAACACTTTTGACCTGATTCAGCATGTGCATGAACCCACACACATGCACATGGACACACTCTAGATTTAATCATCAGTAGAGGTCTAAACATTTCATCCATTGTTATTAAGGGTGTAGCACTATCTGATCACTTCTGTATTTTGTTTGATATACTGATCTCTGTTACCACTGAATCTAGATCTGTCTCTGTCAGAAAGAGATGCATTAACGAAAACACTAGTGTGCTTTTTATGGAGGCTATATCTTTAACACCAAGCACTTCTGCAGACTCTGTTGATCTTCTCCTTGATTCCTTTAACTCAAAAGTTAAGAATGTTATTGATGATATTGCTCCTGTAAAAGTCAATAAGAAGACTGGCAGGCAAAAATCACCTTGGAGTAAATCAACAGCAGTACAGAGTATGAAAAGGCAATGCAGAAAAGCTGAGCAGATGTGGCGGAAGACAAAACTGGAAATTCACTATAGCATCTATAAAGACAGCCTTCATGACAACTCAAACAACTAAAAATCAAGTAAAGAATCTTGGTGTGATCCTGGAGACAGACCTTAGTTTCAGTAGTCATGTCAAAGCAGTAACTAAATCAGCATACTATCATCTCAAAAACATTGCAAGAGTTATATGTTTTGTTTCCAGTCAAGACTTAGAGAAACTTGTTCATGCCTTTATCACCAGCAGGGTGGACTATTGTAATGGTCTCCTCAACGGCCTTCCAAAGAAGACCATTATACAGCTCCAGTTCATCCAGAACGCTGCTGCCAGAATTCTGACAAGAACCAGAAAATCTGAGCATATCACACCAGGCCTCGGGTCTTTACACTGGCTTCCAGTTATATTTATGATTGATTTTAAAGTACTTTTACTTGTTGATAAATCAATACATAAATACATTGCAGATATGCTCACTGAATATAAACCTAACAGACCACTCAGATCATTAGGATCGAGTCAGTTAGAAATACCAAGGGTTCACACAAAACAAGGGGAGTCCGCTTTTATGCCACCCGCAGTTAGAATCAGCTTCCAGAAGAGATCAGATGTGCAAAAACATTAGCCAAATTTAAATGAAGACTCAAAACTCATCTGTTTAGCTGTGCATTTATTGAATGAGCATTGTGCTACGTCCAAACTGATTGCACTGTATTTTATGTATAATAATTTTCTATTTTTAACTGTTTTAAATTCATTTAAAATCAATTTCTAAATAATTAAAAAAGTTTTTAAGTTCCCTGTTTTATTGTTGTGATTTTTGTAATGATTATTTTACTTCCTTTTATGTAAAGCACTTTGAATTACCATTGTGTATGAAATGTGCTATATAAATAAACTTGCCTTGCCTTGAAGTCCATGATCATCTCCACTATTTTGAGCGTGTTCCTCTCCAGGTTGTTGTGACTGCACCAGACCTGTTGTCTATGAGGCAGATGACTGTAGTGTCATCTGCAAATTTCAGGAGCTTGACAGAGGGGTCTTTTGCAGTGCATTCGTTCATATACAGGGAGAAAAGCAGTGGGAAGAGCACACATCCCTGAGGGGTGCAAGTGCTGATCGTGAGGATACTGGATGTGAGTTTCCCCAGCCTCACTAGCTGCTGCATGTCTGTCAGGAAGCTGGTGATCCACTGCCAGATTGGGGAGGGCACAGAGAGCTGGGTCAGTTTGGCTGAGAGAAGATCAGGCATAACGGTATTAAAGGCCGAACTGACGTGTACAAACAAGATCCTTGTATAAGTCCTAGGTCTATCAAGATGTTGCAGAATATAATGCAGTCCGAAATTGACTGCATCATCCACAGACCTGTTTGCTCTGTACACAAACTTGCAAGTGCTGATCGTGAGGATACTGGATGTGAGTTTCCCCAGCCTCACTAGCTGCTGCATGTCTGTCAGGAAGCTGGTGATCCACTGCCAGATTGGGGAGGGCACAGAGAGCTGGGTCAGTTTGGCTGAGAGAAGATCAGGCATAACGGTATTAAAGGCCGAACTGACGTGTACAAACAAGATCCTTGTGTAAGTCCTAGGTCTATCAAGATGTTGCAGAATATAATGCAGTCCGAAATTGACTGCATCATCCACAGACCTGTTTGCTCTGTACACAAACTGAAGAGGATCCAGCAAGGGTCCAGTGATGTCCTTCAGGTAAGCCAACACCAGTCTCTCAAACCACTTCCTGACTACAGACGTGAGAGCGACAGGTCTGTAATCATTAAGTCCAGTGATTTTGGCTTTTTTGGGGATCGGAATGATAGGGGAGCGTTTGAAGCAACAGGTAACTTCACACTGCTCCTGACAGTTACAGTAAATAGCAAGAAAATGTTCCTAGTTGTAACATGCTTCATCTTATAAAGCTCAAATTAAAACAGAGAATAACATGAGAAAATGTCTGTTTGCTGACTTTTACTTTAAAACAGAGCAATTTGTGACAGCGTGAGTTTGCATGCATCATTACAGTGTAAACTGATGTACATACAGTACCATACCAGAAATTGAAAACAAATAAATACAGTAATATTCCATCTGCACTTTGGAAACTGTGGGAGTCCACACAGACATGCGCACAAGAACGTATCTCATGTATGAGAAGAGTTTCTTTGATGGGGGAAGTGTGTAGCTTCAAAATTAAAGGTGAATGATGCAACATAACACCAGCAGGGGTCACTCATAATTAATTACATAAATAATAAACAGTTAAATTTGGCTGAATTACATTATACATGGAACAGTCATCCACTTTAAAACCCAAATTTAAAATAATAATAACAGTAATAACTATGTACATTTTCTGAAGAAATTGCGAGTGGTGCTTGCAGTAGCAAAACTCGGCACTCGATTGCTAGGGTGTTTCTAGGTGGTTGCTAAGGTGTTCTGGGTAGTTGCTAGGGCATTGCTAGGGTGTTCTGGATGGTTATTAGGGTGTTGCTACATGGTTGCTAAGCTATTCTGGGTGGTTGTTTGGGTGTTGCTACACGGTTGCTAGGGTGTTCTGGGTGGTTGCTATGGTGTTGCTAGGATAGCCTGGGTGGTTGCTAGGAAGTTACCATGGTAACCTGGGTGGTTGCTAGATCATTACTAGGCGGTTGTTATGTGGTTGCTAGGGTTGGTTACTATCGTCTTGCTAGGCAGTTGGTAGTTGTCACAGATCGTTACTACGAAGTTTTATAGAGTTTTTGTTTTAAATAATTTGCGTGAATAGCTTGTGTGAAGAACCCAATGCAAAATCTGCATGGGGATATTTTTGGCAAAATCCCTGTTCACGTGACTATTCCAACTTTGTAAAATCACCAAACAACGGACAAAACAACGGCTCAAGTCAGAAAAATATTACGATTTAGGACTGTAGTGCAAATGGTGCAGTAAGTACAGACCAAAGTTTAATATTTTGGGTTGGAGATTACAGTATGGACTAAAGTTTAATATTTGGGGTTGGAGATTAGCTACAAGTATGAGCAACAGCAGCAGTGATGCTTATAGCAAACACTAATCAGACAGCAACATTTATGATCCGCTGTCAGATTTCATACTTTTTGTTACACCAGCCTTCTATATAATAAACAATGCAGATGCACGCTACTTACATTCAGTTTCTCTTCTCTACCATCCACATAAAGGGGGTCTTGAACTAGTATTCATTGTCCACAAGAAGTATTATGCAAGAAAATGAGAATGTGAGCTGACAGTCATGTCCAAAAATACCTAATTCCAAATTACAGCATCCTTACTGATTGGCTTGTTTTTCAATAAAGCTTGGTTACACTTCTGATGAAGAGAGGCGACCAACAAGCATACTAATGACCTGCTGTACATGTGTGTGGGCAAATGAGTGTGTGAGAGAGGGAGAACTGGATGGAGAGAGGAAGTGAGAAGGACACAGAGAGAACGAGAGAGAGAGGGAAAGTGTGTGTTTCTGGCAGTTCCTGGCCGTGCTCTTTCCAAAAGGCTCATTCGGACTACAGACGCTGCATTGTATTATGGCTGAGAAAGGTAGGAGAGATTCTGTACTCAAGAGAGGATCCTTGGACCGTCGCTTCAGAGAGTGTTGTACTGGCAGGAAATAGGCTGACACATGATACAATAATATTGGGTTGAGCCATTTTGTTCAATCATGGGTTTTACAATGCATTTCAATGATTAATTTCTCCAAGATCTGTGATGTGGTGGAGAAACGGGATGTGTATTTGGGGAAGGCGGTAATGCCAGCATCACAGACGCCAGAGCCACACGGATGAAACCTGATGTGAAGTGCTGTACCACACTGCCACCCAGAGGACAGTCTAAGAAGTGCAGCATGTGTCAGTTTCCTTTCACCTGCAAAACTTGAGATTTCCACAAAATACATGAAAATGCTCTTGAAAAACTACTTAAGATAAACCATGTAGTACTTTTAAAAAGGACTGTGAAATCACATCCGTTCAACCTTTCTTTCAATATCTCTTCCAGTGTCCAGATTTTAATAACATCCTCTTGTCGCTCTAATCCTATTAGCTCAGGATATATTTCACTTTAAATCACAACTTTCACTATTGCTTTTGCTCTCTTTCTCTTTCAGTGCAATGTGGTTATGCTACGGTTTGTCTAGTGAGTTTTTCACCAGCTCAACTCCTTGGTAGTTTAGTCAGTAGGCTGTAATGAAGGCTGCTTTCATGATTGTGTCAGCTTATTCCCAGAGATGGGGGGTTGGCTATAATTCGAAGTAATGGTTTTCAGTCCATTGATTTATTGATTACAGTGATTCGAAGCATCAAAAATCACAAACAGAAAAGATAGGAGAAGCAAGAAGGTAAACAAAGTTTCTATGGTTTTTTTTTTCTTCTAAGCTTTTTCACAAGTACTCCTACATCTTTTGACATAGTAAAATGTGTTTGTAGAGATGCGTATTTTACATTTAAGGATCCATACCGATATATATTTGAATTGTGTCTAGGTTCAAATTCACTCACTGCAAACTATCATCAATTTGCAACATTAATTTTTTGCAATGTGTTTTTGAGTAGAAGCAACCAATTCCTTAAATCTTGCAATGAAGCAAATGCACACCTTTTTTTACTTTTAGTGAGAGTGCAGTTACCCTTTGCTTTTGTCAAGTAGCGGTAATCAAAACACCAATGTTCTTATGCCTCCTGAAAGATAACCGAGTATGAGATTTAATATATTCAAAAATATATGAATGATACAATTACACAACATCTCTTCTATGAATCAACTGTGGGAGCAATTATTAGAAAATGGAAGATATACAAGACGACTGATATTCTCCCTCGATCTGGGGCTCCACGCAAGATCTCACCCCCAGCAACAGTGTGTGAAGACTTACAGAAAACGTTTGACCTCTGTCATTGCCAACAAAGGGTATATAACAAAGTATTGAGATGAAATTTTGTTATTGACCAAATACTTATTTTCCACCATAATTTGCAAATAAATTCTTTAAAAATCCTACAATGTGATTTTCTGGATTTTGTTTCTCATTTTGTCTCTCATAGTTGAGGTATACCTATGATGAAAATTACAGGCCTCTCTCATCTTTTTAAGTGGGAGAACTTGCACAACTGGTGGCTGACTAAATACTTTTTTTCCCCACTGTATATCAATGTGGCATTAGGAATATGAAGACATTTTATTTTATTGCCATGTTACTACAAAAAAACAAACAAAAAAACAAACCTTTGGGATATCCCTTTAGACCCTGATGGTTTTGTAAAATAATAACAATAAAAATAATACAAACAAATATTTGACCTTTGATGTAAGATTGAGCAACCCTAGGATACTTTTTTAATATCCATACATATAAAGTATTTATTTTACATCATAAAATAATATTCTTGATATATGTAATTATATTAATATAATTATATAACTTTATTTTTTAATATGTGCATTTAAAGGTGCACTAAGCGATTTTTGAAAAACTTTTGAGCAGTGTGTCGGACCGAGTCCCAAAACAAACTCGCAGCCAATCAGCATAAAGGGGCGTGTCTAGTAATGATAGGGAGAAGAGAGTGCTCAGTGAATGCACAGGACATATATTAGCTGATCGACTATAGATAGTGAGAGACGGCAGAAAAAAAAAGAGGGAAATTTCGGAGGAACAAAACATTAAAATGTAGAGTTACAATCAGGCAAGACCACGTAGGACCACGTAAATATTGGAGCAGCTTTCCAGCGGTGGAGAGAACTCGAGGAGCATTTTTTAAAAAGATGTTGTACAGTAAAGTGTTACACACACATCATAATATAGTCAAAGCAAATGACAGAGAAAGCCTAAAACATTTCTGTAATTACAGTTTCATTAAAATAGCTTAAAGAGGGATAGAGTGCTGAGAGTGAAGGTGACTGGTATTGAAAAGTGTAGTTTTGAATTGGCAGCATGATGAATGCAAGTCCTAGTATCCAAAGACACAAGTTCAGACTCTCCAGTGTTCCTTTTAGTTTCTACTGGCTGAACAGGAATAGGCATAAATCACTCAGTAAAGCAAGATGAAACATAACCTTGACATTCAAACATTATAAACTATAATAAAATGTGCCTTTTGACATTTTGGTCCAGGACTATATGGTCCTGCATAGTAATGAAAGGATGTTAGGTCAGTTTCACAATATACACGAGCAGCACATAAGCAAAGCAAAATAATAGCCATAGATTATAAAATGGTTGTTGCTGAGGATATACTGAGAACTATTAGAACTTGATCATAATTAAAACCCAATTTTACATGAAGGGAAACATTTACATCCAAATGGTCAACACAGAACCTTACTATAGCTCCAGATTGCTTAAAAAACTGACCTACTGTCTGGATCCAGTCAGATTTACTAAATAGAAAATGCCAATATGGGCACTGAAAGAAATGTGTGCTGCTTACAGTACATCAGCTCATTCTGTTCTTATAGAGAGAGAAAAAAATCTGTATTGTAGCAACCCAGAGCAACTTGCACAAATTTCTGATGCTCAAGGGCAGAATTGCTATGCATAGTGTAAAGGAGAAACCTTTAGTTTTAATTAAAGCCCCAGTGTATCATCACATCTGATGCTCTTACAAAAAGCTTTGAACCACTGACCCTAGTATGTATAGACACAAACACTGCACGGTGTCTTAATTCATTTGTTCTCATAAAGACTTACCACAATTTCTAGTCAGTTTTACATTTGTCTTTCCTAAATGCTTCTGTAACAAATAACTTGACAGCTTCTGTAACAGAACACTTTAGTGGTCCCACAAGAGAAAAAAAGTCATACAGCTTTGGAACAAATGAGGGTGAGTAAATGATGGCAGAGTCTTCATATTTGGGTGAACTATACCTTTAATATTCGCACTGCCACCAGCTTATATTTCAATTCCATTTGAATGGCTAAAAATATCAAGCAGGCCATTTTGTGGTCAAAATTAGATCACCGCATGTAAACCTATCCCCTCTCGTATTTTCACTGCACTTAAATCATCAATCACCAACAGAGTCATATTTTAAACATGCAATTGTGTTTAAAAGCATAATAATCCCACTTTCACAAGTTAATTACCTCTCCAATAATGGGTATAAAATTTCCAATATCAAAGAAAAATGCAATCAATGACCCCTTACTATATACTATGAGGTACTCTGTGAGAAAAGCTGCTTTTATCTCAGATGATCATTAGAGTGCTACATTCACAGACCCCTGCTGGGTGTAAAACCACCATATACTTCTCCATTCATAGGACGTATTCTCTGTTCCCACAGTATGCCACCTCCTGTCTGTTTTCCTCCTTATCTCTCTGACCCTGAACATGACATGCTCATTTTGTAAGCATGAATGAATTACATGCATAAGCACACACCCACAACCTGATAAGAGCTGTATGGTCAATCAATACTGGGGAATTCTATGGAATGCAATAGTGGGAATATTGTAAATTAGAGTTCCTATTAAAGGCTGAGAATGGAAATAAGAGGATTTCCATGATAAGAACATCTCCAGTGTGTCTTAAAACAGGAGGAATCCCTGAGGAGCCAGTCGTATTTTGAGCTAAGATGCGAGTGTGAGGCTTACCTAAGCCTGCAGGCAGAGAAAAGTAATGCCATCTGTGCTCATCCTGTCCATATGTTTTTGATGGATACCTTCATTTAACATGGTTATAGATGGTAAAGCAAAAAGAGTTACATGAGGTGACATTTCTGAAAAATTATATTACATATGCTTTGTGCACATTTTGTGACACTTCCAAAGTGAAATGTCTAGTGAGTGTTCAGTTTTATTAAAAAATGTTGAATGTGAATATGCCATTGTTTAATTATGTTGGTTATTATACGTTTTGCAGCAGTTCAGAAATAAAATGCCCGGTGAATGGTGCTAAAAGGTTAATGCTATATTGCATTTAAAAAAAGTACCACCTACTATAACGTAACTGATAGTGTTAACCAAAGCAAATGTTGATGAAGTTGAAACGAATTTGCTGAAGCAACCATGCCATTTTAGCTAGCTTCTAGTCTTTGAGATCTTTTAATCGTGACATTTTTCACACAAATTGTATGCGAAACTTTGCATCTCAAGTGCAGTGCTGTATGAGGTGAGCTACCAAGCAAGTTTACTACATCAGAAAAGCAGAACGATCGGTTTATGACATCAAAGTAACGCGAGAGCTATAGAAAGCAGACATCTCCTTATCCTTTCGAATCGCTCTCGCGGTACTTTGATTTCATATAACGATCATTCTGCACAGCGCTGCTTCAAGTCGAACACACCTAGTATCTCTCAGTTCTCATGGTATACTTCAGCTGGTAAAGTATCGTAACGTGTTTATGGTATCGTAACAACCCTAATAGGTATGTTCTTGGAGTAGGGACGTTGTAAAAATATATGTTTCTTAAAGATTTGTGACAGCCATAATACCTGAGTTAGGCTTAGGTTAGGCTTACAGTGATGTTAAGGACAATGCACATCTCACAGCTGTCAAATCTCCCATCAGCCTTGCATTTCCTTATTGCTCTGTGCTCTAATGAAAAATCCAATTAAAGAAAATAATGAAGCATACCACAAGTCAATGAATGTGATCACATTCAAATCACATCCAAAGTAAACCTTGCAGAGGAGAGATTCTCTTTTAGAAATTTAAAAAGAAATGTTTAGTATAATGTGTAATTGCTATAAAACTGTGTGGGCCCCCCAATTTGAGGAAACCTAGATTCCTCCATCTTTTCCTCCATTGTTTTCTAACAAAAGCCAATCCACAAGTCAGGTCCATCCAGCTGTAGCCTAATGGTGTCAGAATGGTTCAAAAGAAGCTATATTTCTGCATAGTTTGGTCTATGAACCACAACATTCACTTGGCATACTTGAGCATACATATTTCTCACATATGCACTCATCCCTGTTTTGTAGCACAGATGATGTCAAAAACTTGCCCTTGGTTAATAAAATAAAAACTTGACCACATACCTGGCCAGATTTCACATAAGCGGTTTACTCTAACAGTCATCCCCAGCACACCAGACTGACAGATGTAACCGATGGAGGTGCAGCTCAACTGAGGCCTGCTGTGCTTCTAATAAGAACACAAAAGCAATTCCCCACAATGATAATGGCAAAGGGCATGTCCTTGGCACCGTAAAATATAGTGCTAAACAAACAAATCCAATCAAATTAGCAGCGAGAGACTTCAAATCACCTGCTGTGAGCAATGTTCCCGTTATTATGCACAATCTGAAGGTCTCTATGATAGCTTTGTGCATATTAAAGAGATAGTTCACCCAAAAATGACAATTCTGTCATCATTTACTCACCCTCATGGTGTTACAAAACTGAATGACTTGTATGATGTGTTTGGTAGATTTTTTTTTTTTTTGTCCATTCAGTGCAAATCAATGGGCACCAAAACTCTTTGGCTACCAACATTCTTCAAAATATCTTTTGTGTTTTACACGTTTTTGGAATGACATGAGAGTGAGTCGATCACAGAATTTTAATTTTTTGGTAGACTATCCCTTTATTAACCTCAACAATGTTTACACTCTTAAAAATAAAGGTGCTGCACAATGCCATAGAAGAACCTTTTTGTCTAAATGGTTCCATAAAGAACCTTTAACATCTGAAGAACCTTTCTGTTTCACAAAAGGTTCTTTGTGGTGAAAAAAGGTTCTTCAGATTACAAAAAGGTAAGAAAGAGATGGTTCTTTAAAGAACCTTTGACTGAATGGTTCTTTGTGGAACCAAAAATGGTTCTTCTATGGCATCGCTGTGAAGAACCTTTTGAAGCACCTTTATTTTTAAGAGTGTACTTGTTGACTATCTATCAGTTACCATACCGTAATAGTTAATTTATTCATCACCCCCCCCCCCCCGGGCTTGGGATTGAGTACGTTGTTGCGGTGCCATCAGCCAGTCAGGTTTCCAGAATGTTTAGTCATATCGCATTACTAGATCAGGTTCAAGTGGATAGTAATTTATGTTGTTTTGCAAATCTCTAATTCTGAAAATAAGAAAAAGTGAAACTTACATTCTTGATGAAAAAAAAATCTAAAGAATTGCATTATACAGTGAATGCTCTATTACACAGTGCTCTTTAAACCATGTAGTCAGGTCTGCAGATGTCACACACACTTGCTGCACTATATGGATGATGTTAAATGGTTGTTGCTGAGGATATACTGAGAACTATTAGAACTTGATCATAATTAAAACCCAATTTTACATGAAGGGAAACATTTACATCCAAATGGTCAACACAGAACCTTACTATAGCTCCAGATTGCTTAAAAAACTGACCTACTGTCTGGATCCAGTCAGATTTACTAAATAGAAAATGCCAATATGGGCACTGAAAGAAATGTGTGCTGCTTACAGTACATCAGCTCATTCTGTTCTTATAGAGAGAGAAAAAAATCTGTATTGTAGCAACCCAGAGCAACTTGCACAAATTTCTGATGCTCAAGGGCAGAATTGCTATGCATAGTGTAAAGGAGAAACCTTTAGTTTTAATTAAAGCCCCAGTGTATCATCACATCTGATGCTCTTACAAAAAGCTTTGAACCACTGACCCTAGTATGTATAGACACAAACACTGCACGGTGTCTTAATTCATTTGTTCTCATAAAGACTTACCACAATTTCTAGTCAGTTTTACATTTGTCTTTCCTAAATGCTTCTGTAACAAATAACTTGACAGCTTCTGTAACAGAACACTTTAGTGGTCCCACAAGAGAAAAAAAGTCATACAGCTTTGGAACAAATGAGGGTGAGTAAATGATGGCAGAGTCTTCATATTTGGGTGAACTATACCTTTAATATTCGCACTGCCACCAGCTTATATTTCAATTCCATTTGAATGGCTAAAAATATCAAGCAGGCCATTTTGTGGTCAAAATTAGATCACCGCATGTAAACCTATCCCCTCTCGTATTTTCACTGCACTTAAATCATCAATCACCAACAGAGTCATATTTTAAACATGCAATTGTGTTTAAAAGCATAATAATCCCACTTTCACAAGTTAATTACCTCTCCAATAATGGGTATAAAATTTCCAATATCAAAGAAAAATGCAATCAATGACCCCTTACTATATACTATGAGGTACTCTGTGAGAAAAGCTGCTTTTATCTCAGATGATCATTAGAGTGCTACATTCACAGACCCCTGCTGGGTGTAAAACCACCATATACTTCTCCATTCATAGGACGTATTCTCTGTTCCCACAGTATGCCACCTCCTGTCTGTTTTCCTCCTTATCTCTCTGACCCTGAACATGACATGCTCATTTTGTAAGCATGAATGAATTACATGCATAAGCACACACCCACAACCTGATAAGAGCTGTATGGTCAATCAATACTGGGGAATTCTATGGAATGCAATAGTGGGAATATTGTAAATTAGAGTTCCTATTAAAGGCTGAGAATGGAAATAAGAGGATTTCCATGATAAGAACATCTCCAGTGTGTCTTAAAACAGGAGGAATCCCTGAGGAGCCAGTCGTATTTTGAGCTAAGATGCGAGTGTGAGGCTTACCTAAGCCTGCAGGCAGAGAAAAGTAATGCCATCTGTGCTCATCCTGTCCATATGTTTTTGATGGATACCTTCATTTAACATGGTTATAGATGGTAAAGCAAAAAGAGTTACATGAGGTGACATTTCTGAAAAATTATATTACATATGCTTTGTGCACATTTTGTGACACTTCCAAAGTGAAATGTCTAGTGAGTGTTCAGTTTTATTAAAAAATGTTGAATGTGAATATGCCATTGTTTAATTATGTTGGTTATTATACGTTTTGCAGCAGTTCAGAAATAAAATGCCCGGTGAATGGTGCTAAAAGGTTAATGCTATATTGCATTTAAAAAAAGTACCACCTACTATAACGTAACTGATAGTGTTAACCAAAGCAAATGTTGATGAAGTTGAAACGAATTTGCTGAAGCAACCATGCCATTTTAGCTAGCTTCTAGTCTTTGAGATCTTTTAATCGTGACATTTTTCACACAAATTGTATGCGAAACTTTGCATCTCAAGTGCAGTGCTGTATGAGGTGAGCTACCAAGCAAGTTTACTACATCAGAAAAGCAGAACGATCGGTTTATGACATCAAAGTAACGCGAGAGCTATAGAAAGCAGACATCTCCTTATCCTTTCGAATCGCTCTCGCGGTACTTTGATTTCATATAACGATCATTCTGCGCAGCGCTGCTTCAAGTCGAACACACCTAGTATCTCTCAGTTCTCATGGTATACTTCAGCTGGTAAAGTATCGTAACGTGTTTATGGTATCGTAACAACCCTAATAGGTATGTTCTTGGAGTAGGGACGTTGTAAAAATATATGTTTCTTAAAGATTTGTGACAGCCATAATACCTGAGTTAGGCTTAGGTTAGGCTTACAGTGATGTTAAGGACAATGCACATCTCACAGCTGTCAAATCTCCCATCAGCCTTGCATTTCCTTATTGCTCTGTGCTCTAATGAAAAATCCAATTAAAGAAAATAATGAAGCATACCACAAGTCAATGAATGTGATCACATTCAAATCACATCCAAAGTAAACCTTGCAGAGGAGAGATTCACACACACTTGCTGCACTATATGGATGATGTTATGTTAGGGATAAGGGTTTCATGTGCCACAAAGTGCATGCATTAACTTAATTAATAATTAAGTGTCGGCCTCTCAAGCCACATTTACATTTAACACAATCTTTCTGTGGCTCTATTAAAGGGGTCATGAACGGAGAAATCTAAATACCCTTGATCTTTTGACATATTGTACTGTAAAAACATCCTGTAAGTTTCAGAACTCAGAACTTTCTCATTAGTCTAAAAACAGCTTATATTGAAGCCAATCTGCAAAAACGACAGGTTGTGCCACTTTATGACGTAATAGTGTGGCTAAACACCACCTCCGCAAAAGAAGATCAACGCCTGCTTCTACATCACTGCCTTTGTTTAGCCCCGCCCACCGATTCGTGCACGTCATGCAAATAATGAGAGAGGAAAAAGCAGGTCTACGCAGAAATCAAACGATAAACATGCTCCGAAGACAAGAAGACACTGTGCAGTGCCAAGTTGTGGAAAAACACAGTAATTGCATTGACTTCCTGCTGATCCCAACATTAGGAAAGAGTGGATGAACTTTATTTTTAATAAAGATCCTGACCGCGTCAGTAAGAACTTGGTCCTTTGTTCACATAATGTTACCACGGATTTGTTTACAAACAAGGCACAATTCAGTGCAGGATTTTCAGAAAGATTGAAACTAAAAGATGAAGCTGTGTGACTATATTGGATCCGATCGTAATGTCACTCCACACAAGTGTGAGTAACTGTCACGAATTCAGTCCATGGACTTCTGTTTATTCACCACCAGAGGTCACCCTTTCCATTTCATTCAGTGACTCTCGCACTACACAAACTGTTGCATAGCACCCCGGACTACATTTCCCATCATTCTTTGCACAATTTGCACACTGCCCTGATTGCACTCATTGCACACAGCTGTTTCTAATTACCTCATTCACTATATAACACCCACTCTAACCACATTTC